TTTAAATGCTGGGCAGAGGAGGTGCTTAGGGCCAGGGTTTAGTGGTGGGATGGCAGGGTTAGGGGAGCGTTTAGGCTTGGTGATCTTAAAGGGCTTTTCCAACCTGAAAAATTCCATGATTCTATGATTGTGAATGCCAGAAGTGAGGCCCTTGGGGGTCCTGGCTCATTCAGCTGCTGCTCAGGGCAGGGGGGTGCCAGCCCCCCCAGCCCAGCGCTGGGTTTCAGTGGGGGCTCAGCAGCACAGGGAGCCTTGGAGAACTTCAAAGATATTGAGCCTGAGAAAATTAGTATTCTCGTTTGCACGCTGTGCTGATGGGCTGACTCAGACTCTAAACTCCTTTCCCACGTGGCACCAAGGGAAAGTTTCCTCTCGCTAATCAGATGATGAATGCTGGCCCTGCGCCCCTGCCCCGGAGGGTGCTGCAGAGGGAGATGCTCCTGCACTGCCCGGGAGTCAGTGCCGCTGGAGGAGCATTTGCAAAGCCCCACACGCTGCGCCGGCATCCCTGGCCAACAACACCTTTGCAGTCCTTAAAAGTCGGAGAGGGCAGATCCGTCCCACCAGCAGCTCTGGGGTACGTGGGGCAGAGACCTGCTGGCAGGGACATGGAGAAAGTCAGAGAAGGTAGGTGGATCCTTGAAAGCTGGGAGGAGGAGGAGGAGGAAGGTTGTGCTGCACAGCTGCCATCTCCCCATGCCCAGTGCCTCCTCAGCCCCGTCCGTGGCACTTGTTCTCAGCCTCCCCTTCGCCCGCAGTTCCCAAAGCAACGGGAGCAGGCAGTTCTCCCTCAGATGCCGTGTCTCCCGCTTGGATGACAGCTTGCCACCTCCGGCGCTTCATCTCCAGGCTTTAATTGATGCCTGTCACAATGCTCGGCTCCCCCAAGCCTGTAGCCAGAGCAGAGGCTGACAGCAGGATGCCATGCGGGACGCCGTGCGGGTTGGCTTCTCTTGCCTTGAGTCCTGTCCCCTAGTGACACGTCCCATGGGAGCGGGGACAGAGCTAGCGTGATCTGGCCATGTCCTCCAGCACTGGTGTCCTGAGGGGGCTGCCCTTCCTGGAGGAAGATGCTGCAGGAATTCCTCCCGCCTTGCCCTGCCCCTTGCCGCTCTAGAGAAGTCATGCTCCGTGCCTCAGTTTCCCCACTTGTAACATCAAAGACAGCATTTGTTGGCGCTGCAGAGGAAGCACTGCACATGCTCTTGCATTAGTGTTTGCTGCTTGCTCCGGAGAAGATGGCTCTGTGAATCCTGCAGACAGAAGCAGCTGCTGCCACCCCAGGCCCTGAGGAGCAGCTTTCCTGGCCAGCACCATGGCACGAGCTGAGCTCCGAGCCGTATCCCAGTAGAGATCCAGCGTGGCGCTTGGTGTCCTGGCAGGCTGCCAGGAGGAGCAGGCTCGCAGCGTCCACAGGAGGCAACAGGCTGCATCCATCACAACAAATCCATAAGCGCAACTGGGCATAGCCAGGGTTGTTTGGTTTTTTTTATTATTATTATTATTTCTTAATGCCTTTCATTTCTTTCCACCTGTCCATCAGCAGGGCATGGGCCAGGCTGCTGGCCTGGGTGGACGGAAGAGCAGCAGAGGCGAGAGCCTGTTCACAGCCCCGGGCTGTCCCATAAACACGTCTGAGCCATAAGGCTCTGCCCCTCCGTGGCCATGGCCGTGCTGCCCCGTTCTTGCCCCGTGTCTGCATCTTGCAGCGTGTGACTGAGTCCCCGGTGCATCGCCCGCCTGAGCCCAACTCGTCCTTGGCTTTTTCCTCTCGTGGCACAACTGCACGGCTCTGGCACAGGAGAGAGCTGAGCTGAAAGTGCAGCAAGGAGAAAGCCAAAGCGAACGGGCGGGCGTTTAAAGGCAAAATGCATTTGTTTTGCTTCAGAGGCGGGAGGGAAAAAAAGCCATGGAAAAAGAGCCTTTTTTTTTTTCCTCAAATGCTAAGTGGGAGGCCAGCAGATGCCAGAGCATCTGCCTCCTTCCCCAGGCCTTCCAGGCGGCATTGCTGGTGCCCATCGCAGTGGGGCTGCTCCCGCTCCCGTGCCGGGGGGACCCAAGGGGGGAAGGGCAGCGCACGTGGGGCTGCTGGTGGGACCAGGGCTGCTGGTGGGACCGTGCCATGCCAAGCCCGGCTGCGATGCCCACCTGGGGCACTGGGTGCTTATCCGTGGCCGTGCACGAGCATGCAGACGTGTGTGTGCGCTGTGAGGGCCAAGTGAAAGGAGGCTGGAAATGGGGTATGGATGGGTCGTCTCGGTGAGTTTCTGGGCTCTGTCTGCCCCAGCTGCCTGTGTCCCAGGCACGAAGCAGCGCTGAGAAGTGGCAGGAGAGGGTGAACAGGCTAGAAATGTGGTTGTAGTCATTTAAGTGAACTCATCTATGCCCCCCCCCAAAATACATCTCAGAAGCTAAGCTGCGGCCCAGATGTTACTTCGGCAAATGTTCTGGGGATCCTCGTCTGTGCAGCAGCCTGCACCTGTAGGACACCAGTAAATCAAAGCTTTCCTTCAGCCAAGGGGCTGGGGCAGAGGACCCAAACTGGGAGGACTGGGCTGGTCTCGGTGCTGCGCAGCCTCGGGCAGGGGCTCTGCTCAAGCAGCAGCTCTGATCCCAGTGCTGTTGGCATCTCCCCACAGCGGGAATTCAATGTGAAAGCATATGACCCTGGCACTCTCGAATGAGCCCTGGGCTGCAGCCACGGAGCATTTTCCCTGGTGCAGCTGAGCGAGGGGTTGCTCAGAGTTGAAGGCTGGGAGGGTTTATCTACACCTGCATCGATTCTCTGTCCAAACTGATGAGGGGTTTGCCTGGGTGGGTGGGTGCTGGAAGCCAGCAAGTGCCCACCTGGCTTCACCTCCCCTTTACTGGAGAAAATGAGGGCCAGGCGAGCTTTGCCGTGCCCATGGGTGTGCGCAAGGAATGGGGGGAAGCTTGGCAGCAGCCGCGCTGCGATGGTGCCATGCTGAGCACCGTGAAGCTGCTGTCCGGGCTGAGACGGTGCCATGCTGAGCACCGTGAAGCTGCTGTCCGGGCCGAGATGGTGCCATGCTGAGCACCGTGGAGCTGCTGGCCAGTCCTCACAGGTCTGCACGGCCGAAGGGCCGGGCCGAGATGGTGCCATGCTGAGCACCGCGGAGCTGCTGGCCAGTCCTCACAGATCTGCACGGCCGAAGAGGGGAGCGGGAGCTGCACCGTGGAGAGGCTCTGCCTGGGGCTGCTGTGGGGCTGTGGGGGGAGCGGGGCAGCTTGGGCACCTCCTCCCAGCTCAGCCTGTTAAGGACAGGGCTTAGTTTGAGATATGAATGGGCAGCCCCACCAGAGGGGACCAGCAGTGCTTAGAGAATGCTGGAGGCAGCCAGGGACCAAACCGGCCCTGGGGACCAAAGGCAGCATCTGGGGTTGCTGACAGCCCCGCGGTGCCCAGGTGGCTCCTGGGCTGCTGCCATGCCAGCCCCATGCAGCGCATCCCACAGCGTGCCTGCCAGCGCAGAGGGGTTTGAAGGTTTCCCGGCTTGTGTCTCCCCAGGCACCTTCCGAGGAGTGTGCAAGAAAATCGACCACTTCCCCGAGGATGCGGACTACGAGCAAGACACGGCTGAGTATCTCCTCCGTGAGTCTGCTTTCCCATGGCAGGGTGGAGCTGTGCGCGCTCCCTGGGGACCCCACGCTTCACTAGCACCCCCCTCCCTGTCGCCCAGCACCCAGAGCTTCACCCACCCCGCAGGGTCCCCCTGCTGCTAGCAGGTGGCCGATGGGTCGCATCCCCCCGGGCTGCCTGCACGGCAGCGATGACCCTCCGGTTCCCCGAGCGTGGCCGCGTCATGCTGCAGTAGTGGTGGTAATGGCGCATTTGTCTGGTGTTCGCCATCCCCATGGCTGGCCCTGGCAGCTGCTGCACAGCCCCAGCTTGTCGGGGTGCGATGATGGCCTGGGCCCGGGACCCCGCAGGTCACTGGCATGCCACCGCAGGGGTTCCACGTTCCTGCCAGTCTCCCTGTTCCCCAAGTCTCTGCGGCCAGGCTGGATTTGCACGACGAGCATTGGCCACGTGCTCTGCCAGCAGCACCCGACTGCAGGGAGATGGAGTGAAAACAGAGCTGGTGGCTCTCCTGGGACAAACCGAGTCCTCCTGCTCTCCGGGGCCAGCAGAGCCTCTGGGCAGGAGCCACAGGGTTTTTACATGGGGGTACCTGCCTCTGGGGCAAGGCTGACCCTCTGGAGACGGGGCACCGTCTCTGGAGCGCTGTGCACGAGTGCGCGCTGGGGCACTGAGGCGCAGGGTGACAGACACCAGACACAAACAGTGCACACCCAGACACGCAAAGCAACACGGATGTGCAGCGCCCAGCACATTGGCCAGCATGCACATGCATGACAGGCTGTGAAGCCTGCCCAGCACACAGTTCATTTCCACACCTATGTTTCCAGAGAAGAACGTAAAGCAGCAGGGGCATGTGGCAGCCTGGGAGGCGTTGGCATCTCTGGCTGGGAGGAATCCCCAGGGGTGAAGTGGCCGCCAGTGCCCATCGCCCTGGCCTCGGCCCCGTTCCCTGGGGCCAGGCAGTGGCCCCCACCTGCTGCTGCTGATGATGATCCAGATGTTGCTCTGAACTCCCCATTTTCTACCTCTGCAGGGAGCCATCAGCTCTGCTCACCCATCTAAGAGGGGAACGCGTTTAATGAAATTGGTTTGCACTTTCAGTAGATTAGCGTTTTAAGTTCTTCTCCCACCCCCTCCCACATTTAAAACAAAAAGTCTATTTTAAAGCCCCCAGAATGGCATTTCAATGGGGCTGCTCTGTATTTCTGTGCTTTTAATAAAGGCCCTAATAGAGTGATGAGAGCCCAAACCAAGGCATGGCATATTTTCACTGCAGCAGGTAGTGATTTGCTGCATTAATTACTGTTTATTGTCATTTTGGAAGCTGAACTTCTGACAGGCCATGTAGAAAAGACCCTTCTTTGTGTAGCCCTTGGCCAGCGACTCCTGAGTGTGCAGAGAAGGGCCCTGCCAAAGTTAAGCCCCTGGGGATGGAGCCCAGTGCCGGGGTCACAGCACCACACGTGCTGGTCTCGGGGGCTCGGGCTTTGTGTTCGTTTTGATGATGTTCCTTCCCCTACATCAGCAAACGACTTTTTTGTTGAACTTCAGGTGTGTTAGTTGGTAAATTCTTGACTTCTGAAGCAGCTGCAATAGTTTGGGGTCCTAAGGGACGGGTTCCTGACCCTCGCGGTTGGCAGGGCAGCCAGCTGAGATCTGGGGGGTTTCTGCGATCCCCAGGCTCCACCCAGAGTCACAGCCACAGCCTAAACCCGCGGGGGTTGGGGTTGGTAATGGGAAGGT